TAAAGTATGATGTTAATTAGATTGGAGAATTATTAGATTCTTGATGGAAAACCTTTCACATTTTTCTTTGAGATCAGTTGACTGATTTATTGGTCTTAAGCGACCAATAATGTTGTTAAGTCAACCATTCTTGTTTCAATGGATTTAACCATCTCTTATGGTTTTCTTTTCCGTATGTAATGTCTACACCAGTGATTTTGTGGATTTTGCTGGTGAGTCTAGAGCACATTTTCAGAATTTTGCTCATTCCAGTTACAAGGAAATATGGTTGGGTTCTCAGGATAAAAGGATGTGTCCAGGATTCATATTTTGTTCAAAAAAAACTTTGCTACTTTACTAGCTAGGTTGTATAGTATAGATTGATTAAGTTTTCAGGGTTTTTTGTTTGTTTTTAGTTGTCTTTCTCCCTTTTTTTTCATTCATTCGCTGACAGGTTTTTCATCTTGCGACTCCTCACGGTTATCTCACCGATGAGCGTCAGTGTTCTAGCGACGTTATAAGCACACAGCTGTATGCTGTGTCAATTTCATTCCTTTAAAACAAGCTTTGAACTGAAGGACCTTGAGTCCATGAGGTTTTGTGGTAGACTACTTCATATGATGGAGTCCAACAAAGTTTACTGAAAAAATATCCTTGTCCAAATTTAAGGTCATGTGGTATAAATTTCTTACAAGAAGTCACTTCTTCGCAGTAACAAAGATGCAGAGGAGTCATCATAATTGGCTTAGAGACTTTTGGGATGAATTCCAACAAAAGTTACAAAAAGAAATTACGTCGATATATTTGGCCAAAGAGGTTAAATTTCTTAGAAAAGTCAAACAACTACTTAAAGGCACAGAATCATCATAATATTTGGCTTAAAGGTTTCTTCCCATGTTGAAGTCCAGCAAAATTTGCAAGGAAGAATGACCTTAACCCTTATTCAAGGTCACATAGGTAAAGTTATTTTGATTAAACCCCCTAAACAAAGTTGAGGGTTAGGGAAGGTATACTAGAATCAACCTGTCTTGCCTGTTCGTCGTTGCAAATATTGACCAGGGAACTCCTAATATCATTATATAGGACCATGTGTAGATGTTCATGAGACTTTTTTTTATGAAAATTTGGTTGCCACAGTAACTGAAGACTTTGCATCTGCGGGCGTTATTAGTTATCCTCAGAATGTTGGTTGTAGATGAATAACATTTAATCTAGATTGTATTGTGAAAGTATTGAATACCAAATGAGTGGTACAGGCACATTGGGCCTGTTGTTTTTATAATTGCTGTTGGAGGGGGTGGGGAAGTATCCATGAAAAATGGAGAAAGAAAACTTACAGTTTGCTGTGCTAGTCTTCATCAAGTTTCACATTGTTTTATTTCCTAGATATATTCCAAACTTGCTCGTATTTGACATATGAAAAACTCTGAAGAACTCAAAGTCATTAGTTTGACTCTTATTCATCAAAACGCAGCAATGATTACAATCCTGTCCCAAACAAATTAGCTGAAACTCACATTTTCACCAAGAAATCTTCATGTAAGACCAGAATGTTGTACTAATAGAATTCTGATGGGACTCAATTTCTGAACTTACTTTAAAATTTTCAATTGTGGGACTCAATAAAGACCTCATGAAAACAAACAGGTAATGTAATGTTATTTTCTGCCATGATCTTTCTCTTAACATTGCCTACCATATTTGTCAAAGCAAGAGCCAATTGTTCATATCGGGAAGCGGGGCTGGGGGGGAGTTATTTCAATTATTTTTTTATTTTTTTTTTTTTTTTTCATTTTTTACATGACCTGTCTAAATTGAAACTTGACAGCAATATCTCATAGCAATAACTCTAGATTTAATTAATCAAAAAATGATATTTTAAATTATCTCGGAAATGCTTGTACACATGTTTTATGAATGGCCAAAAACAATTGTCAATCACAGAAGACTTGATGAAAATGGCACCTCTGTTGTATAATTCATGAACTAAAATGTAAAACTTTTCAGTCAGAGAGCTTTACAATAGTGTTGATAGTATGTGTTAAATTTGAGTAAATCTCACTGTCTTCAAGTAAATCTCCCTGTCCTGGTATGTTTCTACGGGATGATAAATCACTGCCTTGAAAGGAATCATTGACTGTTGGTCTTTTAGAGTTACGTCAAGCAGAAGGGATGATCTTTCCCAAAAGCAACCCTGTCTGTCCCAAAAAGAAACAATGCTTTCCATTGTCTGTGTTCATTGGTTTTCATAGCTTTTTTAAAATTTTTTTTTCCTTTTAAGGACTTGACATGTGTTTATCTTGAAACAGGATAAATTTTCACTACAAGCATTACAGTCATGTTATTCAAAAGATTGAACAACATTGCTCAAAATGCAATGTCAGTGGACTCATAATTTGTCAGAGAAAAACAAGACATGAAAGTATATCAATTTAAACAAAATAATTCTTTATATGGGAAAATATTCCATCCATTTCTGTTCCTATTTTCAAGGACAACAAGGACTCATATTCATCTTTATTATGCCATTTCTTGTCCTTTTATTTCATTCCCTACTTTGCAGAAAGTTTACCGAGAAATCATTAATTTTCTGAAGTTTTGTTGATTTTGTGGGAACTCTTCATCCACAATTTTATAATTGATGTCAACAGTGTAAGGACCTTAATTTATCAACAAAATCAAATATCCAGAAAAAATTTACTTTTTCTGAAAACCACAATATCTTATGGTAATAGAATTATGTCCAGTAAATTTGATCTGCAGATTTTCCAAAGGAAGCTCATGGTATAATATTTGCTGTAATTCATGCATATCTGTTTCAATAAGGAAATATATCAGGTCATTTCATTGGTTTTTCTCGGCAAAAACAGACTGTAAAAAATTCTAAATCTTGCCCAGCAGTGATCCCTGTTGATGTTTCTATCAGTTACCGCAAAGAGGGAAGTCAAAATTTTATTGATTTACATTTCCTTGGAAAATTAAAAATATAAAAATCATTTATTGGAACTTTTTTTTGTTCCAGTATGTTCAATATTTTGTTGATTTATCTTCCAATGATATATTGAAGGCCTTGTAGTTGGAGCAGAGGGGGCCAGGGTAGGTCTGTGTAAAAACTCTTGGAGAAGTTCTGAAGATTTGTATATTATTGCTCCCTACCCCTGGTGGTTTCAGGAAGCAAAGAAACAGACTGGTTTGTACTGCTGTTGTCATGTCCTTGGACAAGACACTTTATCACTTTGAATGGCATGCAACGGGCCTCCCATATGTTGTTCAGTGAGATAGCCACCAAAGTTAAAGAGGCCCACCTTAAAATGACTCTGGCTGTTCAGGGGGCAGTAACCCCAGCATAAAAAAAAACGATCTTAGGTAATGGATTTTGTGTCTGAAATGTTTGGGTCTGTCTCAATTTTTGTAATAGTTGATTTGTTCATTAAAATGTAAGGTATAAACAGAGGACAGTCAGAAGACAAGAATAATTTCGTTTTATAAGATTTTCTTGATCAATAATAATCCTGGAAGGAATCAAGGGAAAGTTGACCATTCAAAAATGAAAATGACCCTTTCATATTTCTTTTTTCTTCAACTTTTCATAGAATGGCTCCTAGTTTTCCTATTTTGACTAAAAGTTGCTGAGAATGACAGATTACTCTCAGCTCCAAATACTCTACCTGTTGGTAATTTATTGGTTGTAATGTGTACTAATGAATTAGTAAAATAGATTTTTGGCTGTGAAGAAGAAAAATTAATGTTGCCAGTTATCAAACAGTCATTTCACTGCTATCTAGTTGTCGTGATTTTCATGAATGAAATATTTGTATATATTTGGAATGACGTTAGGAAATTCAAACGAAAAAAATTGATTTCATTTTAGTATTTTTTTTTGTGCATGATTTCAAATAGGTATGATTAGTGAATTCAATAATAAGTAAATTAAATATTATAAAACCTTAAATGATTTCATTATGGTTTTGTAAATGATTGTGTCATACCTGTTTTGTACAGAAAAAAACACACTTGCAGTTTAGGAGATAAAAGAGTTTTGACCCTCCCTTTCACGTCCAGCTGATGTTGATCTTTGATCAAGGCAACTGTATAGCACATCCTCTGTCTGTTATTTCAGTCCCTCAGTCTTCATACCACACATAGCTTAGTATGTAGATTTGTAGGTACACTTATCAGCTGACTTGATGTGATATATGTTTACCCTTGAGGTACAAAAGGGGGTAAAAAAATTCACAAGTCAATTTGCAGAACTTTAAGACAAATAATTTCTTATTACATATGTCCTTCAATATTTACAAAGAATTATTTTTTTTTATAAAAAAAAGTTAGACAAATAGTTTAAGAGAAAAAAAATTTAAAAAGTTAATTTTTATGTAACTTCAGGAATATCATACTCCTTCAATTTAATCATGACAGCAAATTTAATTATGTAATTTTTAATTATAATTTTAATTACAAGGAAAAATATAATCAATTTTTATTTATGTTTAAATTGTTAATTAAATTTTAAGTGCAATAGATAAGGGTACATGTATGTAGTTTGTTTTATCTTTAAGAGACGGTTCCATTTCTCTGTGCTTGGCTAAGGACAACACAGAGGGTGTATCAGGTCTCTAGTATCTGAACTGCCAGCATACCTTCCAATGAATCCTCTACAACTCCTGTGCATGAATGTTGTCATAACAGCTCTAGTGCATGATAAATTGGTCACAAAAAGGTGTGAACTATGTCAGACAGTGACAAATCCCCCTCTGGTGGGCCCCACACTATGTATGTAGACTTCATTACATATTGACCAGACAGTCAACATAATACCGTGACCCAGATGTAAGGTTAAATTTGATTGGTGGATTATAAATAAAGCCTAGAGGCACATTGCATCCATGAGCCAATTATAGAGGCTGTGTTAGACAGTTGTCAGGCTGCATGCTTGTCGTGGAAGCTAGGAGAGTTGAGCCTAGGAGGCGTTATGATCCGCCCAGTGAAGATGTAAGCTGTATGTACAATATATGTATATGCCCTACTTTGTGATAGGGAATGTCTGTCTACCTAGCATGTAGGAGGAATTCACCTGGGCTGGACATGTGGACATCTTATCACTTAAACTGACCATCAACTTCTACCAGAGATGGCACACAGGAAATATTTTCTTTTGGGATAGATTTTCTCTCGTATGGATGAAGTAAACGGGAAGATTTATAAAAGTTTAGTGAAGAAGTCTTTGAACCTAGTACTTCTCAGTTGAGCGACTGCCATCCTTTTATGTATGGCTGGAGGAAGTTCTGATTCAGTGTACATTAGTACAAGGGTCATCTCTGTCCATAGGGCAGGGGATGTCCAGCTAGATTGTGGAATCAGTTGTAAAAGTACCATACTAGATTTGGAAAGCTACGTCTATGTTGGTCAACAGTCATCTGACTGCTGATTCCAGTCAGCTGTGTCTGTGGCCATCAGCTGATCAGGACTGGTCACTGGGAAACAGCTGATCGCAACAGGGCGGATACTACAGCTGTCGTTGTGAATATTTTTGTGATTCAAGATCACATCAAGACATAAGTGTATGGATATTACGTAAGTCATGTGATATTTATGTTGAAAACTACGGTGACATCCACGTAAATTGTGTTGGGTTTGTGATCCTGAATTGTTTAAAATGTATGAACAACTGTCAAAATATTCTGCCAAACACACTTGCCATGTAAATGACGTATAAAGAATCAGGCCAAAATTTTACAGTCACAACAACAAGACTTATTGTCATGACTTTTTAAAGTAGATGATATTGAAGGAAATTGTGCAATATTAAACTGTTGTTGTTTTGTTGTAGAACTGGTTTTGTTGTTTAGTAGGGATGTAGCACTCATTACCTGTTGGACATTCTGTTTGTAGGAGTTTTATACGAACGTGTTTCTCGAACAACATATTATTAATCGATAAAAACTGTTTTTTATGGATTTTAAATGATCTGCGTAATTCGTGGAATGTACTGAGGGGATTTGTGCAATAATACAATTTTTGTGGATTGAAGTTACCGTGTGGAACTCACCATTGTTATTGTATGGTTCTTCTGTATGGAATATTAAATCTAAACATGTATGGCAAAATGATTTGCGGGAAATAACCTGTATGGAACCTTTTCATAGAGCTTAGTCTCATGGATATATCACTCTGAATTATCAGACACTTTTGGAATTACATGTCACGACTGAAAACTCACACATCCGTACACCTGGGTAGTAATACAAGCCGTGCCCATGGTTCATGAGGGACAAGATAATCGCAACTTAGAGGACATGGATTCTGGTGTGGTAGACGAGCGACTGTTAAACAACCGTGGCCATTGGTTAAAACATGAGCAGGAATACTACAAACAGGCGATGCGACTGAAACGTAAGAAAATTTTATATACAGGTACCTCCTGTGTCAGACGTTGGAGGCTTTTAATTTTTAGTGTTACACAGAGGTTGTCATAGTTTTATAACCCAAAAAATACAACATAGTTCATAACAGAAATTTCCCAGTACCATTTAAATTACTGTCCAATGTCAGACTTTAGACATCTTTCTGTGGACAAATGTGACAGATAGCACTGTTCTTTCTTCACTTTCTCACATTTGTTGAATCCTCTACGACTATCTTCTCCGTCATAGGGATCAGCTCCTGTTTTCTGTCCCTGCCCATACAGTCAATATTGCCCTAATGTCCATGTCGTCATTGGTAACATTTTCCTTCTGGATGCTAATGACAATTTCCTTAAATACTTTCCTCTGTTGAATGAAACCAGCTTATACCAGAAACATTTTTGGCTTCTAACCCTACCCGAACAAAAACATGCCCATTCATCTGGACCCTAGCTTACCAACACTAGAAACATTTCCCCCAGTAGACCCTTATTGACGAACATCAGAGACATTCCCCACCAGACCTCAACAGACCAATGTCAGAAGATTTCCCTAAGCCAGACCCTGACTGACCATCAGAAACAGAAATATTCTTTTCCAGGCCCTTACTGACTGCTGTCAAAGACATCCCCCTCCCCAGATCTTAACTGACCAACATCAGAGACATCCCCCAGCCCCTCCAGACCCTAACTGACCAACAACAGATATCCCCCCTCTTCCCCTCTACTGCCTCTGACTGTCCAGTCATCCAGATCCTAAATTGACCAACGCCAGAACATTCAGGCCCTAAATTGACTAATACCAGAAACACTTCTCCCTCTGACTGCCAAATGTCCTTTTAGGGTCCAACACCAGAATCACAACCCCCTCTGACCATTGTCCACTCTTCCAGACCCTTACTGACCAACAGGCTACTCTATCTACAAATAACCTCTATTAGCATTAACAACCTGCAAACTAATAGTCTCTGTAAGCTTAGCATGTTTTTTATATTGGAATCTCCGACTGAACGCATTATATTGCGACAGATCTGCAGTGACGTATAAATATACTGTACAATGTCTATATGATGGTGCCAGCATGATGGAATAGACTTGAGTTCACTGTCTGGCTGACTGCAGTACAGAATCTATGTAATTATGATTTCTTAGACTTTGTCCTACGGTACACTGTTGGTGGGACAATGGTAAAGACGTAGTTTCTTAGAATCAATACGGACTGGTCAGTTGATTATGATGTATCTGTAAGTGTTAGGGGAGTGCCCAGACGTATTGTAATTTATCTCCCAAAAAGCTACAAGTAGATATTGTCGTAAATATCAGATAGTATCATGCTGAGATTTTTTTTTTTTAATTAAGTGTGATGACTTGTTGGAGTGGTTTTAATTCAGTAGAATTTACTTTAGATATGTATCATTTAATGATACTCTCCTTATGTTTACTTCTCCAAAATCAACATACGAGGTTACAATCCAAACATGTTATAATTATATGTAACCCTGATTTCACTCTTTTAAGACCTCATCTTTTACATCTAGTCCTGGATATAATCAGTATTTGTCAGAATCCACCTTGGCAATGTAAAAAAATAGTACTGACCAACATGTTCACAATGTTCAAGAAAATTGTCAACACATATAAACAAGTTGAATGAAAATTGCAAATAATTTCCTCCAAGAAGACTAATAATTGCCACACTGTAAAATCAGATATTTTCATGGGGCTGAAATTTTGTTTTCTGAAAGATATTTTAGTTGGCATTTAATTTTGTGGTTAATTTTACTCACAAAATCTGCTGCTATTAACCATGTTAATTTTTGGTTTATTTATTATTTGGTGGATGTTTAAATTTGAGATTTAGAGCACCTGTGAATTCAATGAAAATAAATCATTCACAAAATGTAATACTTATACAGTAATAAATTACAGTGCAAAAATTGATGATGATTTATGGTCTGGAGGTGTAATTACAGTTCTTTACATTGATGCAAGACTCTGAAATTTTAATTTGATAAAAATCTTTGTCTTAAAACATTTTTGATGGTTTGATTTATTGAAACTGGAAGATATTTGAATTTATGTAAATATCTTCAGTGTGTATTACAAAGGAAATCATTTACCAGTTTAACAAATTTTTTTTGTCTGATAAAGGCTTGTCAAGGGAAAAACCACATGGACAGTTCCCATGGACAGATGGCTGTATATCATGACTTGGGATATTTCCTGTGATAAAGTTTCGCACCTCTCTGATTTACCTCCTGTTGTGAGGGCAGATCAGGCTGTTAAGTGTAAAACACTTCAGCAATTACTAGGAAGAATTTCAGATATGACTTTTGCATGTTTAAAACATGTTTCGTAAAATAACATGTTCTTCTACTGAAGTTTTTGCATGTAAAATCTACAAGATATATTTTGAAATGTTTTAGGGGCATACAAACCGTACAAAAACATTTAGCTATAAACGCAGCCCAAGCTTTTTGGTCTCATTCACTGCTATGGAACATTTGTCATTTTAAAATTAAGCATGCTCAAAACCTTAAATGAAGCGATTTGGGAAACCATAAACTGCCATGGACTACTGACCCTGTCCAGGTCTGTGCTTGGTATATGAGGATGAATATGACGCAGTATTTCAGTTCAGGCGCCTGGTAAATTTTAGTCAGTAGATCACTGCTATTGAACAGCATAATACTCTGCCATAATTACAAAAGTGCAAGTAAGGCTGCTACAAAAAGCTTATCCAATATGCACAGGCAGACTATAGCTTGAACAAGTATGCATTTCCTAACCCCCCTGGGGGGCAGCTGGGTCTTCTCTAACAACACCACAGAAAACTTGGGAGTGAGGTGGAAGGTCAGAACTGGGATGTCTGGTTTCTTATCTGTCGAGGTGGGGAAAATGTTGTGGTGTAGGAATGCTGGGTAAATTTGCTTCATTGGGGTCACTGAGGACAGTCTGTGTTACAGTACATCTTAGGTCAGAGGTCAGGGAATATTAAGGTTAGCAATTATTTTTGAAGTCTATCAATATTCTATGAAGAAAAGGCATTTGGAGCTTGAAAGTTGTTTTTCAATTGTTTATTTGTGAATTTCTGTAATATTAAAATTAATATTCAATAAGTAATCAAAATGTATTGAACAGTTTTGGGGAAAAAAAGAGAACTGACTTTAAGAGAAATACTAGATTAGCCATTTATTACAGATAAAGGGACGACAGTCGTGCATTACTCTTCTCCTCTTTGAAGCCTTTTCCAGGTCAACATGACCATCAAATTGGGTTAAAAAGTGCCACATGTGGTTCAGGATGGATTCAACCACGGGCTACTGGGATCATTAATTGAGTTCATATGACCAAGCATCGTAGGTCCTTCAGAAACACTCCAAAGACTAGGTTAGGAGGTTAGGGGAGGTCATAAAACCCTTCTGTAGGAATAACTGTTGAAAGTTACATATTTATTATCATTTGAATGTGTATTGTGTGAGTTTGACTTCATCTGTGACAAGCTTAATATATGTTTCTGATTTGATTAAGATGCATGTTGTGTATTGTCATTTTGTGTATAAGGTTATCTGGATACTAATGGATATTTAGATCTGGTGAAGGTTATCCTGATCACAAGAATGGCAGGATCTGAAGTAGAGTAATGGCATTAGATTGACACAGAATTGAAAGCTTATAAGTAACTAGTTATTGTATCTTTTATCTGTGATGAGTAATGATAGAGTGAGTCCATAATAATCCAGAGTGAGTCCTTAATAATCCAGACACCAAAATTCTGGAACGCTGTCAATCACGATGTTTTTTGGTTAGGAACAGGGGATTACCATGATGCTGACTTCTTGTTAATATGTCTTATTAAGAAAAGCAAGTAAATAAAAAAAATTTTTTTTGAAAATTATAGTTTCCAGGGATGGGTAAGTTTTTGGTATAACATAGAAATCAGTGATAAAAAAATTCACTTTTGACATATTCTTCTGCTTACTGTCATAGGCTTATTATAGAAAACTTCAAAACTCGGTCACTATGACCTATATTTTAACCTTTATACATGGATGATTGTGAAAATGATGAAAAATGGTAACACGAGCCTGCCATAAGTTAGTTATTGATGAGTAAAGGCGGCAGTCGGATGGTGATAATGCTACATTAATGGTTTGTATTGCATTCATATTGACCAGGAACGGGGGAGTAACAGCATTAGATAAATATTGACAAATCATTCACCAGTTTATAGTTGTGTTTTACCTGTAGCATTATAATCATACATAGTTCTGGTGATGTCTTCAGGTTTTTAACTGTCTGAAATGCCAATCATAAACTTCCATAGTAAAGATTCTCCATGCTTAGTAGTTCTTGTCTACTAGGAATGTTTGAAAATTTTGTACTTAAGCATCAAAGAAAGTAGATTAGCACTGGGTTATGTGAAAGTAAATGAATCTTTACCTACAGTTTTAAAGGACTAGAAAGAAGAGATATATATACCAAAGCTTCATGGTTAACTCATCTTGTTTCTGTAAAGAAACATTAACCAAAGGGCACATTTTATTATACAAGACATTGATCGACTTTGGTCTCCGTGATATGCCCTGTAGTGGGAGGATAGACGTATCGACCAGTGAGGTAGTTGCCGACGACCACCAGGAGAGTTACAGGTGTACAATACAATCAATATGTTGCCAGGTTAAATCACATGCAGTTCAATCTCAGATCTGCCTAACTTTAGGTACAGAAATACAAGTGATGGTCAGCTCTAGATCTGCCTAACTTTAGGTACAGAAAAACAGGTGATGGTCAGCTCTAGATCTGCTTAACTTTAGTTTCTGAAATACAGGTGATGCTCGCCTCCAGATCTGCCTAACATTAGGTACAGAAATACAGGTGATGTTCCCCTCCGCCTAACTGTATAATTAAATTTTTGAATGTATCTTTAGTGGGATAAGATATTGCCAGGTTTCTTAATTTAACAAATTTTCCTTTATTTTATCTTGCC